AGTGTGCTCCAGTAGCAGGGCTGGCATAGTATGTTGGGAATTGAACCCCAGTCCCTGCATCTGCCTAAGCAGGTGCTTTAAGCCTCTGAATTTTCTGGCCAGCGCTGACCCAACACTTCTAATGTCAATAGTACTTGAAAATATTTACATCATTAAGAATAAGAAAATATAAAATAGGCCATAAAGATATACTATCAGGATGACCAAAATGAAAATATTTATAATGTTAAATGAAGAAGAGAATGTGAAGCAATCAAAATTCTCATACCTTGCTAGTGAAAGTATAAAGTGATACAGTAACTTAAAAACTGGCAGTGTTTTAAAATAGTTTAATATATATCTGCCTTATAAGTCAGCAATATCACTGCTAAGTATTTACTAAGGAGAAATAAAACACATGTGTCCACAAAAAGGTTTGCATAAGAATGTTTACAGCAGCTTTATTCTTAATAGTCTCAAACTGGAACATCCCAAATTTTTATTAACAGGAGATACATAAAATAGTATATTTGTACAATTGAATATTCCAATTAAAATAACAAACTAGATATAGATGCAAAAACATGTATAAATCTCTTAAGACATTAAGCTGATGAAAGAAAGAAGGTTTAGAATAAAAAAAAAGTAATGCATGCTGGTAAAAATCACAACTGTGATTATCCGAGTGGAAGAGATTCGACATGGATGAAATGTTTAGAATTTAATGGGTCAAGAAATCTCCTTAGGAAATATGTTTTTCTACTTCTGTCAGAACTCAAAGAATTTACAGTTAAGATCTCGGTGTACATTATACCTACAAAGCCTGGAATGGATTGTTGGTAAGGTAATAGCAGCCAATATTTCTAGAAAAACAAGACAAAAGAAAAGCTTAAAATGGAAAGTTTAGATTTAAAAATTTAAATTTAGATTTCAGAAGAATGAAAGTCAGCCATGTATAGGTACTTCACAGATCTTAGGTCTTCAAAGAGGATCAGTATTAGGATGACTACTGTCAAAACACCCACTGGGTGTGGTGGTGCATGCTTGTAATCCCAGGTATCTGAGATGCTGGATAAAGGAAGAGGATTGACTGGGAAACTTAGAAACTTAGCAAGACCCTGTCTTAAAGTTTTTTTGTTTTGTTTTGTTTTAAAAAGAAGGTCTTCGGATGTAGCTCAGGGCAAAGGCCCTAGGATCAATCCCTATCACAAAACAAAAATCTTGGAAATGCTGAGAACAGTGGCTCATGCCTGTAATCCCAACAATTTAGCAAGCTGAAGCAGGAGGACTACAAATTTAAAGCCAGCCTGGGCAGCTTAGTGAAACCCTGTCTCAAAATAAAATTTCAAAAGAGTTGGGAATGTAACACAGTGACAGAGTGCTTGCCTAGCACGAGTGAGGCCTTGGGTTTAGTCTCTAGTAGTGAAAAACAATTAAAAAATAAAACATAGCTCTAGAAAATCACAAGTGTAAAAAAAAAAAAAAAAGAAAATCAGTGTCAGCAAAAATGGGTAGGAATTGGAACCCTTGTACACTAAGGTGATAATATAAAATTGTATAACTATGGGAAACACTATGATAACTCCATAAAAATTAAACAGAATTTCCTTATGATCTAGCAGTTCTACTTCTGGGCATATACCCAAAAGAATTAAACACAGGGACCTGTGGAAAAGGTATTATTTATGACAGCCAAAAAATGGAAGGAACTCACGTAATCAATGGTTGATGAATAAGCAAAATGTATATGTATACAATGGAATATTAATTAGCCTTAAAAAGGAAGGAGGGTCGGGGAGATGGCTCAGTAGAATAAGTGCTTATTCAATCCCTGGTTCTGCCAAAAAAACAAAACAAAACAAAACAAAACAAAACAAAACACAAAAAAACGAAGGAAATTCTAACATGTGACAACATGAATGAATTTTGAGGATATTACGTTGAAGATATTATGCTATGTGAAGCAACAAATACTAAATGATTTTACATATACGAGTACTTAAGGTAGTAAAATTTGCACAGAGAAAAAGCAGAATGGTAGTTTCCAGGGGCTAGGAAGTGTGGGTAATGGAAATTTATTGTTTAAATAGCACAGTGTTTCAGTTTTGTAAAAAGAATTCTAGAGAAAGATGGCGGGGATGGTTGCAAAGCAGTGTGAATATACTGAATGATACTGAACTTTTACCCTCAAAACAACTTAAAATGCTCTGTTTTAGCTGGGGGTGGTGGTCCATGCCTGTAATACCAACCTCATGAAGCTGAGACAGGAGGATTGCTTTGAGTTTGAGGCCAGCCTGGGCTACACAGTGAGCTCAAGGCCAGCCTAAATTATATACAACTTTAAAAAATGATAAATTTTATATTATGTACATTTTACTACAATTAAAAAAAAATAGATTCCTAGCCAGGTGTGATGGTGCAAACTTGTAATCAATCCCAGCACTTAGGAGGCTGAGGCAGGAGGATCAGTGGAAGATTGACTAGCCTGAACTACATAGCAACACTCTGTCTCAAAAGAAAAAGAAAAGTTTCTAAAAATATCTTTGAGAGGATTTTTTTTTTTTTTTTCCTTTGGAACTAGGGATTGAACTTAGACCCTTGAGCTTGCCAGGGAAGTGCTTATTCTACTGAGCCATCTCCCCAGGCCCAAAAGTTATGTTTTGTTTTTTGTTTTTGGTGGTACTGGGGATTGAACTCAGGACCTTGTGCTTTCCAGGCAAGTGCTTATTCTACTGAGCTATCTCCCTGGCCTGAGAGGATTTCTTTGCCTATCCCCCGCCCCCTGTACTGATTAACCTAGGGCTTTCATAATGCAGTACATTCCCAACTTTTTTTTTTTTTTAATTTTGATACTAGTGTTGGTAAATTGCTCAGGCTGCGCTTCAACTTTCTGTTCTTCTGCCTCAGCCTCCCAAGGTGCTGGGAGTACAGGGCATACACCATCGCACCAGACTAAAGGGATCTGATTTCTTTTCTTTCATTGTCAACCAGCTGGGATTTAATGTTCACTGGACAGTTATCTGTACTTACTCAGGTAGCTCTGACTTGGAAAAATTCTCTCTGTCCATAGCTTTTCTTCCAACTTGCAGATCACATGCGGCACAGTCATGTGAAAACCTAATAATGAAAAACGAAACTTGATCTAAACTGTTTGTACTTCCAACAAAGAAGAAGAGGAAGATTCTGCATCAAGGCGGCAGATAAGATACCCATTAATTAATACCAAAGTTAATACCCTGCGTTAGGCAAGTGAGGGTATAATCGCATTTTCTGTTAATAAAGTGCCTCATTACCTCTGATCATTCAAATTCAGTTTCTTATTTTTCAGAGATTCTTAAAAGGAGATACAGAACACTGAGTCAGTGCTCCCTTACCCACAGAGATGAAGTGGCAGTAGTTTTCCAGCATCACCTCCCTGTAGAGGGCCTTCTGAGCAGGGTCCAGTTGCTGCCACTCTTCTTCAGTGAAGTCCACAGTCACATCCTTCAGTGACACTGGTCCCTCTAGTTCACCCTGAAGTGATGGGAAATGGGTGAGAACTAGATACTGAAGACCTAGTTCTGACAATGTTAAGTGGTCAGACTAGTTTTCTTATTCCGTGTCTAACAGAAGTTTTTCACTTCTGTGAAAATCTTGTTTGCAAAATAGCTGATTTTGGTTTAGCAAGATTAATTGAAGACAATGAATATACTGCAAGACAAGGCACAAAATTTCCAATCAAATGGACAGTTCCCAAGGCTGCACTTTATGGTTGATTTACAATAACATCTGATGTATGGTCTTTTGGAATTCTACAGACAGACAGAACTTGTAACAAAGGGAAGAGTGCCCCATCCAGTGTGTCAGGTATGGCAAAAGGTGAGGTGGTGGAATAGATGGAGCAGGGGTACAGGATTCCTTGTCCTGAGGGCTTCCCAGAGTCACTCTAGAAATTTTTCTCTGCAAATGCATCCAGCAGTATTTACTAACTCTCTCATGCTAAATATATATACATACTGACATCATAGTATCTGTCTGAATGTGACTGGTTGTCTGGTAACCAAAATGACTAAAATACTAATCCTGCTCATGGGAAGTTAAGGCTGAGAATGAGGCATAAATGAAAACAGAGGGACTCAATCAGTATTACAGATGCAATGATGTATGTATGAGGGGAAAGTGTCACAAACCAAAGAAATACTTCATTTTTTACTCTGAGGTTTCATTGAGAATGTAAAATTTTTGAACTCACAATAAATTTGTTTTGAAAAATACAGGGCAAACTTCACAAGGAGAAAGAAGCCCAGAAAATTCAGGAAATAGCAAAAGGCACAGTACATTAGGAAAGCTTTTGTACTCTAAAAGGAAAGGTAAGGGCCAGCCAGATAGCTCAGTCGACTAAAGTGCCTGCTTAGGCAGATGCAGGGATTGGGGTTCGATCCCAAGCATGCTGTGCCAGCCCCGCCCCTGGGGCACCTGAGAAGGTGATTGAGACTGGGCATGGTGGCACTCGCTTGTAATCCCAGATCTTGGGAAGCTGAAAACAGGAGGATCACTACAAGTCTTATCTGTGTAGTGAGACCTTGTTGACCCTGTACTAAATACATTTTTTTTTTTTAAAAAGGAAAGGTATAGGAAAGTAGCCAGTGGTATATGATGGAATGGTACTAGATTTTTTTTCCTTAAAGCACTATTTTTAAAATGTAGTTAGTACATTTCCAATATATTTACACATCATTGG